TCAGAAATTGTAAAAATGTAATTGGTGATAATTCTTACATAATTTAGTCGTAAAACAAGACACGACAAGAATGTTTATATAGGTCACATGAGCACACAACCGCAAAAATACATGTTTAAACATTTTTTTTACATATATGATGGGTGTGATCTAATAACGAACTCGGGCCAGACAGTAATTTACTACCAGTTTAGGATTGATAGCAAATTTATGCCAAACTATTTAATTAACTATTCCACAAAATACCCAAACAAATATGACTGAAGATGCAGTGGCATACACAGTGGCATTAAGATTGGCATACATATTTTCCATGCGATTCAAAAAACTTTTTGAGGTCAATGTCACATTATGAGTTTATGCAGTGTAAGCAGGAAGGAAATAGCCAGGGCCATCAGACTTGGCAGACGTGGTTCACATGTGACTCACAACGTATCTTCAGAACATGGTGTTAATAGTCATGGTCACAGGATGTGTTTGTGTATATTCAGTATTAGGGCTACAAGAGCTATTAGCAGGGAACTTCGCGTGTAGGAGCACAGTTTCCCAATGTAACCCACAAGATTTTTAGGGATAAAAGATCAAAGGCAGTATATATGTATGTATGTATGTATTATCACAATAACCACCGCAGAAAGATCGCCATTGTCTTTAAAATTATTTGGCACACATTTTTCGTTTGTGATTCCAAGACTTACAATTTAAGGTCAAGGTAACATTATCTATGTGTATAAGGCCTACGTTCTGTAGGTAGGGATTTGGTCATGCTATTACGGGTGATCGTTTATACAATATGCAATCCTAAAAAGCTTTTAACTGCCTTTATGATAAACTAGATTACAAATTCGAACCAAATCTGGAAGCCGTTGAAGTTCATGACAACAAATTGTCCAAGAACAAAGGCAGAGATAAACGTTAAATCCTGCATGACATTGATCTAATCTTTGTTTTCCTGTTGCAAAATGGTCCAAGCTAGATTTGTGAGGAAGAGAATGCTTGGACACCTTGTATCCTTATCATTCAAACAGTCCAAACTTCCAATAACATTATTCTGTTCTGTAATGACCTTCAGTGCTTCATAGATATACAAACTTCAATCAGATATTATGTCTCTACTTTATATGACGAAAAATTATACAACAATTATTCCACTGGTTGTTTGATTTTATTATTCCACTGAATATTATGGATAAATCTCTATCTAAATTGCATAAGCCTCATTACAGACAACCTTTTCATACCAGCGTCCAGTCAATGTACAACCAAGTAGTAATCACAAGTATTACTAATAATATTGACAACTAGGGAAAACAGGTTTTGATCAGTTTTGAATGTTTAAATAAAATAAAATATGTGGATGATATTATTTTCCAAAAATGTAAAGATGGTAGATGTATTTACCAAATCTTGCTGCAAATTTTCCAATCGTTTTTCAATTTTGTTTTTAATAAACGCTTTGAAGGTCTAGAAACCTAATAAGTAATATTTAACGTTAGTGTTTCATGCAAACAACGTCATCTCCTCTGAGTAATAGTACAAGTTAGCAATGAATTCAATTATCTTTTAGCATATGCATACAACTGTAGATATTACATTTTGTATACGAGTACACAGTTGGTCAGTTTACAATCAGCACAAGACAAAAAGTCGTGGGGATTTACCATATTTATACTGCTCTT